CTGTATGGATGGGATACTCTCGTACTACTTCTTATAAATGCAACCGTTAGGTGTGGAATTTTGCTTAAATGTGTTATCTTTTGCTTCATTGTTGTTAGGAATCCACTAATCCCAATAGGGGTGGCGATTTTCCCATTTCAATGCCCATTTTTCAAACTCAAGAGAGCAATCGTTTCTGAGGATACAGTCTTGCACATGCTTAACATCGAAAGTTCGCCATAAATTAGTCAACCCGATCTTCCGATAGTAACGCCATCGAAATGTACTAATCATATTATTAATTATGAAGAAACATATTTTTATAATTTGAAGCAGCTTTCGCTTGCGTTTCGGAAGCTGCGCTGAAAAATTGCCATGCTGGCGGGGACTAACCAGTTTATGAATCTGAGCTGAGCTGAGCCATTGCATTTAGCTTTTATTTTAATGTAAAATAAGATGAAATAAATATGCTGGAAGTTGTCGAGGAACCTTTCGCTACTTTCGTGTTTAAACAGCCTGAAAATGTAATAAGGTTACTCATGTTTTTGTTTTCATAAGCTTGTACATACATACATGTTTACCATGTTACCAAAAATCACAATAACCACTTTGACCACATAAACATTTAAATTTCAAGCAAATCAAAACACCGTCAAGCGATAATGCAAATCCAAATAGTAAAATGTATTAGTTAATGTTTTTATGAATGCGGGTATGTATGTATATTCATATGTATTTATGTATATGCAAGTAAAAAATATACTTATGAGCATCAAATACCAATGAAATGGAACCGAACCAAAACTCCTTTAGAATGTTGACAAAATAAATGGGGAAAGTGAAATCAAATTTAATTGCCTAATGTTCGGTACTCTTGCAGGCACATACGTTAGACTGTCACAAAAATATATAAAAAAAAAATGTTTGAAATTTTTGTTATGCATACCCTCTACATTTATGATTTTTAGCGTAGCCGTAGCACAACCCATACCGAGTTTTAGTTGAAGATACTAAATAACCTGAATTAAGGCTGCCAAATCATCCATGAAAACTTTGTAAATGCACAAAATTCGATACGTTTCCCACATTTGAAAGCATTTCTAGCAAATCTACATCTTTAAATTTTTTTATACGACGGCAGGATTTCTCACAAGGACATCGAAAAATTAATAATTGGAAAAAGTACAGTGTCTTTGTAAGGATGTATTACAAGGCTGCAAAACAATATGCTTTCTAGTCGAATAATTTGTGTATGTCCTGAAAATTTGCAATTTTTAATTCGGCGTATGACGAACATTAAATTATTAAATTCAAATTTTATAACAAATTTTTTTCCTCCTTTTAAAAAAATTCCTTCCATAATATTTAATAAAAAAATAAGGGTTTTAGTATTTGGAAGTATAAATAAAAAAATGTAAAAAAAATTAAAATTTGTATCCTTTTATATCCTTACCTACATATAAATTCATATGATTTAAGTAACACTGAGATTCTTCAAATTACATTCAAAATTAAACAATCTGGTAGGATATGTATTATTTTAAAGGACATTTTTGGAACGTTCCAAAAGGATAATTGAAAACAAAAGTTATAATTAGTCTTTTTTTGCATTTTTCTTTTAATTGATATCCATATATTTATCCATATAAACTTTTGGAAATATATTATTACTTACGGTCCTTTGGAAAAAATCCTGAGACTACCTGGTAAAAATCTAAAAACGCAGATTTACCGAATACTGTAGAGAGTATAGTAAAATCGCCTTATACAGAAGTAAGATAAGAAAATTGACAAAACACGCGAACTGCACAAAGATTATTCTGATAACTTTGACTGCAAGTCGGCGGGGTTGCCGTGGTCCGAATTGCATAAAATTTTATTCTTACAGTTTTTACGACAAAACCAATCAAATGAAGTCTACGTAACCGGAACGACCCAGATGTACATATACATATCTGGCCAAGGACTGTGACTCCAGAAACACTCCCCAAAAACTCTTTGTGGAACCTGTATGCTGTTACAACAACAGCAAGGGGGTATGCCATAAAACAAAAAGAACTCTGTTTTTTGGGACAGTCTAATGTATATACTTTTATTCTTACACATTGAATACAGTTGCAGCAAAGCGCGAAATCGTCCATTTTCGTAGCGCAAGTGACTTAACCGTTCGAAAGTCAATAAAAAAATATGTATATAAAATACAAATTCCTTTCTTGTCTTACATAAATTTTAATTTAATTGTTATTTAATAAAAACAAATTATGTATACAAACTTTTATTACACATTGATTAGCTAATCCCTCATACTAACTTACTTCGCCGTTATCAAAAATACAATCGCACTGCACTTTTTACTAATAAATGTATGTACATACTATGTATGTATATATAGGTAAGTATACATATATTGTAAATTACGAATCATTTATATACTACTCGTACGTACATATGTATTGTATGTATGTATGTGTAATATCAAATATTTAGTGTAAAGAAGAAACTTTAAATTTGAATTTGTTGCGAGTAAATTGTTGATAATTATTTTTTCGCATTTCCTTTTGAGAAGGAAGCTGATGTGGCGGAGGAACCCGACGCATTGTTGCTGTTGTTCTTTATCGGTACAAAATCTATGGACGCCGAATTGATGCAGTAGCGCAGATGCTTCGGTGGCGGGCCATCATCGAAAACATGTCCCATGTGCGCAGTGCATTTGGAGCAGCGCACCTCTGTTCGCACCATGCCTAACATTTTCGAAATTACTACTATTTTTATTAACACATTATTTTGTAGGAGCAAGTGCAAGTTTCGACAATAAGCGCATTGTGTAAAAAAATCAATCCACGAGTATGTATGTAATAGAAAAGTATAAATATTTATTTCGGGTTTTCGAAATTCATTTTAATGGTTTTCACATTAATAATTTAAATTGAATGTACGTTTACGGGGTTTAAGTTTAATATTTCGTTTGCGTAAAAAGATACGAATGTGTATTGAAATTTTAGTATGCGTTGAAATTTTGTGTGTGTTTTTGGCAACACAAAAGTTTCACAGAATAAGAGATGTTGCCGCAAGTTAAAAAAGTATAGAAGGAAAAGAAAACATTAATTAGGAGCATACCCTGGTAGAGTTTCCAATAGATACAGTACATGTATGTACATAAATACACATGTACACAAACGAACCAACAACGAACAAACGAATTAAAAAAGTAGTAAAAATTCGTTTAACCTTTTACTTTTATTGTTATTTTTTTTTTTGTTTAATTTGGACAAAAGGAAGCAAACATATACATACATATGTAAATAGTTACATACGCAAACGCACAATAGACATTCAATTATCAAGCGAGTTGGATTGATGTTTTTTTGTTTAGAATGCGCTACATACATACACTTTAATTCTTGTTTAAGAAATACTATGTCTACAGAACAGTGAACATTCATATTTACATATGTATGTATATAGATATTCATATCGTCAACTGAAATGCAAAAAGACATAACAACATTGTAAATTTAATGGAAAAAGTCATGACTAATATTTTAATTTTGTTTTTTCATAAAATTGTGTGGGGGGTTGTAATTCAATGAAATCCATCATAAATATACATCAAGTGAATTTTGCATTTTTTATTAGTTATGACTTTTTGCATTTCAACGATGATGTTTGTTACGTCTTTTTGCATTTCAGCTGACGATATGTACATACATATGTAGATATGTCAATATGTACATTCATTACGGCTATTCCAAATTAAACGTAACAAGATTCCGCGCGATGGCTTTTGATTTGGCTCAAATTTAGCACAGATACTAATTTCAAGGTAATACTGACAGAAATAAACTTATTTCGCAATTTTTTTTTTAGTTCTGCTGGGGCTCGGCCAACATTTGTTGTTGTTGTAGCGGTTACAACAACCTCGCTCAGATCGGCTAGGGGTTTAGTGGGCATGCGAAAAGACGTTTCGAGTCGTGGGGTGTCTCTCCGCATGCCGGGCACTTATGGGGCACATCTGCATCAAGTCTGCTCAAGTACGAGTTCAACTTGCCGCAGTAGCCGGAGCGAAGTTGGGCTATTGTAGTCCGCGTCTTCCGTGGCAGCCGAAGCTCTGTCTCGTCCACGTCAAATGGGTGTATGCCCAGAACGGCATTCACAGGTCTGAAGTATACGTAACTTGAGACCGACTCCCTGTGAATGACGCTCCAGGCCTCTCGATATACTGTCGGGTCCAGAGGCTACCTCATGAAAAGGAATAAATTAACAAAAAGTAGCTAAAACCGACCTTGACAAAGCCGATTTTTGCATTTAGCTATAACTGGAAAAACTCCAAACTTCTAGACCTTTTGAGACTCCATTTCGAAAAAATATTATTGGAAAGGAAATTATTTAATCTTCTTATTGAATATGGTTTGTTTTAAATAAATTATAGATCGTAATTTTAAAAATAAATAAACTATGTTTTCAAAAGACAATTTTGTGTGAAATATTATTAAGATTGTAAGGCAGGTAGATAGCCCCATTAATTACCTTTCCAATGATACCTCATTTTTGTAGTTGGACAAATTGTGAACTTATAAGGGATTTTGTGTCCTTAACTTGGATGATTTGTTTTGTTTTTTCGTAGGCCCATACTTTTTGAAAAAAATTAAAAAAAAAAATTAATTTAATTTAATGAAATTAGTCTATCTACAAAATTTGAGCCAATACGGAAATCACTTTTGGTTACATTTATAAAGGGATCGCCGATGGACATACATACATATGTATCACAAAAAAGTTAAGGTGGTTCGAAGCGAAATTGAACAATTACTATGAGAATTTTTGTGTGAACAATTTTTTCTGTAAGAATCGTTTTTTTATAAGCTTCTTTATTTAATGTCCGATTTCTATAAACGATATACCGTTGTAAAGGAATTAATCCTTATGTGAGTGAAAAAAAAAATCAACCTCAAAGCGACTCTGGTACTCGGGTACCTTTATACAAAGTGGATGTAAATAGCGTCATATTTTGACATGTCTGCCCAAAATATCAGTTAAAATGCATACAAAGCACATTTAGTAAATCCCCTGCGCATATTTATTACAGCAAATAATGTTGGAATCCTTTTTTTTTATTCCCGAAATGGCAACAGTAAGCTAAAAATTTATTATACGTTATACCTCTGAGTCTTAGGTTAACTAAATGTTATTATTTTTTTTATAAAAGTATAGCTGATTGCTTAACAAACACCCTATCAATCTAAATTTCCGACTTTGTGGAAAAATTATTAAAATTCTGCAAAATTTCACCAAAAATTTTAACTTTTTAATCAGCACCTTTAGAATAAAGTTTGGTATGAAGTTTTGCAGGCTATTAAATTTTGGTAGAACAAAAGTGCAAATATGAATTGGCTAAGACTTTCCGTTGATTTTTGTATTTTTACGCATTTTTTCTCACAATGTACTTATGTTCGAAAATTTTTTGTATTGGAAAAAAAAATGCAGACTTCCGTCACAAAAAATCGAATCAATAGTAAGAACCGTAAAAATACACTCTCACGTTGAAGAGCGCCTGGGTTATATATTTCCCAAGTTTAATAGCCGAGAACGAACAGCCAACCTGAATCCCGAACAGATTTGATTTATTTACATATTTACTTTTTATTATTATAATTTTTATTATTAATAATACACTATTACTAGTAGTTAGGCAGTTGTGTTAATATTTTTTTTTGCCGAATGGTGATAAATCCACATGGAGATTATTTTTCTGGCATAGATATCAGACATCAAATAAAAAAGATATATAGAAAAAAAAAAACCTATTTAGTGGTTTTTGCGGGATGCCGAAAGAAAGTTTTTACATTCCTGAAATACTCTCCTAGCAAGTGTTCAAAATCGCTTGGAACAATCTGATGGCCCTATCATGTATGGCGACTGATAGCCGATGGGCAACCATATACTAAAAGTCGCATTACGTATGGCAACTAACTATTAGCTGTCGGCTACTCAGTCTAGTGCGAAATTTTCTGTTCCCCTCTTATGACGATTTTGCTATTTGTTTACATAAAGGCTGCATTTCTTTATTCATTCTGAACGTTTGGAATAAACTTTTTTGTTTATTTATTCTTTAGAACGTTCCTGATGATATGTTGACGTATATTTCAAACGAATTCTGTTTATTCCGGCTGTGAAATTGGATTATCCGGAATGTATAAAGAAACGCAGCCAAAGATTCCAACACATTAGAGCAAAGTTGCCAATTACTTCAAAATATACATGACAAAAAAGGGAGTTCGGATGGTGTCTGCCCTTTTCTGTATACTGAGATTAATCGCCATACATAATAGATACAAAGCTGCAGCCGGATTCCAACATTTGCTACCGCTAATTTCGATCGCCAAAAATCTCCAAACGAATTGCAGGCGCCCCTAACAACACGCAACATTTAGTTGCATGCCCGCCACACTTTCAAATTTGATGATTGCGCATTTCATGTGTTATTCTTCCATGTTGTATACTTTTAGGACCTACTAATTTCCAATTACTAGAATTTTAGCGACAAAAATTAAGCCTAGCGGGTAGCCATGGCTACTAGACCAGCAATTATACACCAGTCGCCTTACGTAATAGGGCCATGATTTTTTTTCACCGCATACAACGTGATACAATCTACTGTATACATGTACATATGTATGTACGTAAGTTGTAAAGATAGTTACGCTAATTGAAAAGATTACGATTTGGACAAACAAAAAAAACAAGAAAGAGGAGGTTAATGAAAAGCACTATTTCTTCTTCAAAACTGTTGTGTAAGTAGTTGGCAGCCCTATGTAAGCAAGTTAATAAGTAAGAAGCCAATGACAAAAGAAATAAAAGAAACTTCAGTACAAAGCAACCACTTGTGTCAAACACTATATAACAAAAACGAAGTGCAAAACATATTAAGCAAAATATCGGCAAACAAAGTGTAAAGTACAAAAAAAAAGTAAGAAATAAGTGTGGTCCGAGCGAAGGTTGGGTTTCGGCTTTTGTTCGGTTCTAAACAGTTGAGTAATTGCCGAGCATCATATAAAAAATATTTTATCATAAAAACTAAATATTGACCTCAATTCGAAAACTAACCTTTTTAAGTAAAATATTAATTATTTTTCGAATTAATTCCAAACAAAACTAGGAAATACAGTATTCCCTGCTTAGTTGCACAATTTTTTCAATTAGCCGCAAAATCAATTAACCGATGCTCGTTTAATTTAACGGTTTGTTCAATTGCAGAAATTCGTAAATAAATAACCAGACCGTCTTTATAAGAAAGGAAAATGAAAGATACAAGACATGAATTGAAGTGTGGGTCGGTTAGGGGTGTTGAATTTTCTATAAGAAAAATTTTTATCTCAGGCATCGAAACCATAACTCTAAAGATTTTAAGTTTGCGGAACAAAGATGGCCTCCTCCAGAAATATAGCATGATTATTCTGTTATAAAACAAAGCCTAGATTTGTTAGACAATAAATTCAATTGTTGGAAAATTATCAGAAATATAATTCGATAATCCGGTAAACATAAAAGCGCGAATATATGTTATATTTCTAAATACATATCACAATTCAAACGCGTTATTAAAAACAACCTACAAACCTTAAAACCTTATTAAGCAAACCCAATGAAAAGCAGAGTATGCAAGTACAAAAAGGAACTTGAAAGCTTTAATAAATGTTTTTGATTTGAAAACTTTACGATTTAAACTTTCATAGCACCTAATTCTTTCGAAGCTAAACGAGAAATAATGCATAATTGGTCCATTTCAGTTTGGAATCTGTCTATCAACAGCATTACCAAGCTCTACATAAAATACAAAATCAGAAAAGCCCTGCAATAACTGAACAAATAATAAAAATCGCAGAATAACCAACACATAGTGCAAATAAGCTGTATTGCAAAGCAAATAACAACAATCTGCTATTATCGAATGCACTATTTGCATTTTGGGCTGTACTTGCCACCGATGCGAGCAAACAAAAATATGCACAAATTTGTGCCTACATACGTACTCGTGCAGAAGAGCACGGGCGCATCTATAGCAACAACAGCGATCGTTGCAGACAAACATTTAGCAACTTAAAGTTGAATTCTTCTTTACCTGGTATACTCGCATCGCGATGTAGTGTTATTTTACCCTTATCAAGCACATCATTGAATGCGGGCCAGCCACAACCTGAATCGTATTTGGTGTCGGAACTGAAGAGATCCTGCTGGCAAACAATGCAACGGTATATGCCTTTTTCATAGTGCTTATTATAGCAACCTAATTGGAGCGTTATTAAACTGTGTTAAATCAAAACAAAACTCTAGACAATAACTACTAACATATTGGGCACGCACCTGTAAATGGTCGCTCTGTAGCAGCCTCCTGTGTCACTTGATACTGTAGTGGTGTCAGACGCTTCTTCAGCTCCTCCTTATTCACATTTACTTTTTCTGCTTTATTTTCCATTTTTGTATCTTTTAAACTGTTTTCGGCTGCCTGGTTTTGTGGTTTATCTGTAATTAGAGATAGAAAAAATGGTATTAAGTTATTTAATTTAATATGTAGCTATGTATGTACGGTACATGCGCCTTTCTGGTGCTAGGTATACAAACGACAACACCTTCCATTTTAGAAGAGTTAAGTTGCCAAATTGTCATCATGACCAGCGTAATCTACTAGTAAAGCACAAAATGAACACCTCCGGCGACACTCTACGTTGTCAGTTGCAAAATAACGTGCAGCCGAAGTTATTTCCAAGCACCGAACTACTCCGAGCGACTGCTCTGCATTACACGTAACTTACTTTGTAAAGCGACTCAGAAGTATGTTTGATAGCAAATGTACATTTTAAATTCCTACTTACATAAGGCGGCCATGCCTTTGTAAAAGTAAGGGACGTTCGGCAGGGAAATGGTAATGACTGCCAGGTGAAGAGTAAGTTGCTAATAAGGTATTATTACGTGCTCCTAATTCTCACTGGGATACTACCTTTTGTATATGTACATACATTTATCAATCGTATGTGTTTAAATGCAATTACTCTACGAGAATAACGCCAACACGCAGTAGGTGTGAACACTATAGTTGCGATCCCGTACGAGTCCGGACTAGTCAGAAATAGTCAGAATCAGTCAGATTTTGCTGGAAATCGATCCCGTACTCGGTTCTCCGACTATAGAGAGGACAAAAAAGGGAGTACATACGGTTCTCTCTCTGTCAGAAGTTACCAGTTTTAGTCCGAGAATTTTTTGCTGGTAAATTCTGGTAAATGTAGGTTCGTTCGCGTAGCTGTTAATTGTTCATGTTTAACCAAAACTTACAAGTTTTTGCGTTCGCGTACGCAAAAAACTTGCAAAGTAGGGGAAATTGAGAGAGCAAAGTGACATTTCATTTTGAGGGGAAGCTGCTGGTTTCTGTTGGAAAAATTTTTGCCAACAGCAATTTGCCAACAGGAAAACAGCTGATCAAAAACAGCTGGTTGGCATCTACGCAAACCACAAAATTGAATTTGATGATTTGGAAGTTAAAAATTACAAAATGCGACTAATTAAACTTGTAAGAAGTAAGTAGTTATTTGTTTTATCAATAAACTGTGCCAGGATACCACTTTGTAATGAGTTTTCGAACGTTTTAAATTTTACACTTTTGAATGTAAACAAAAATTATATCAGCTGTTCGTCTAACTTGCAAGTTTCTGCAAATTTTCTGTTCGCGTACTATTTTGGATATTTCTCTCTTGTGAGCGAACAGATGACATTTCGCCGGAATTTGGCAGTTGGTTGGTTTCTGTTGGAGATTTTAAACGAACGCACCTTGTGTCAAACGATCAGCTGTAGTGTGTTTGGCAACCAAATTGTAAGCAAAAGAAAAGTGCACTCTGCTAATTCATGTTGAAAAGTATTTAATTACTTGTTTAAGTGGATTCTAAAGGCCCGTCCACATACAACTTTGGCGTTGCGTTGGCGCTGGCGTCGCTTTGACAGCAGCGCGAGTAACGCCCGTGCTTGCTACAATGAACGCTTAGCAGAGAATACTTTGGTCACTAAATTAACATACTAGCGGCAGATAAATCAAAATTTTACATCAATAATTGCATTAAAAACTATATTTCTTGCCCGCATTTGATTAAAAATGAAAATTAAATCACATAATTTTGATTATTTAGAACAGCTGATGAACGACGCACGCGAAAAGTTGAGAGTTGGCCATCTTTCTGCGTTGTGTTGGCGTTGGCGTTGCCCAACTTTGGTTATATGGAGACTTTCATTTAAATGCATGTATTCATAGTCAGCTGTCGAAGCGACGCCAACGCCAACGCAACGCCAAAGTTGTATGTAAACGGGCCTTAATGAATTTGAAAGTGTTTTTGGTTATTTACATGTGTGAGCTGAGTGCGTTTACACACAAAATAAGCAAAAACTTACAACCAAAATTTGGAGGTTATGTTGAAGTTGACAGAAGTTACCATTTTTACTAGAAAGCGATCCCGTACTTTTCAATGTTACTCTCTCGCTCTGAGTGAATTTTTATTTTTTGACAGTTTTACTAGTCCGAGTCCGAGGAATACGGGATTGCACCTTATAAATGAAATTAACTGATCTCGTCAAATTAAAAATATTAAAAAGTGGAAATTGTCTATACATCGCACGTTTAATAATATACAAAATTATTTCAAAATTTCACTTTTTTGAGGAAAATGCAATCAAAGTTTGACCAATTGACCAATTCATACAGTTAGTATACAAAAAGGCAGATGAAAAGTCCGAAATCTTCGCTAGTTT